CTCTTCTCCAGTCCAGACTCACATATACACCTGCCTCCTCATACCTTCGTTTCAACGTTTAATAAGACATCTTGAATTTAACGTGCAAACCCAAACTCCTGCATTGTTTCCCATCAGATAAACAGAAACTTCATCCTTCTGGTTGCTCAGGCCAAAGAACTTGGGAGTTTAGAATTGAATTCTCCTCTCTCTTCCCTACTCTACATGCAACACAACAGCCAATCCTTCATTTCTCCCTTCAAATCATATCAGAATCCGATCTAACTTCCGATTTCCAGTCTGGCATGTAAAAAGCTGGAAGACACCACTCTGTCCTAACAAGAAGTAAAAAGCTGACTACCATCCTTGGAGAGACTAAAGGTGAATGCAGAGAATCACAGCCTACCAGAATAAAAACCCAGAATGCAAACCTCCACAGGAATCACTGCCAAAGTGGGCAAACGTGACTACAACTGATGAATTGCTAGAGGCTCAGCATGCGTCCATCTAAGAGGTAAAAGCTCCAAAAGGACCCAATCATGGGGACCCCACACTGTGAATTTTACATCCAGGAGCTTGACCAAGTTCTCACAGTGAATGTCAGAGAAAAACCTCCTTATGCTTCCAGCTGGGAGAGGGGGAAAAGGAACCATTTTGAAATGCACCAAACCATTCTGTCCTTCTTAACAAGGTCTACTCTCAGGAGAAACGATATAATCAGCCTAACCTGCTGGGGTTTTAACAGAGCCTAAGTACCTGGGGGAAGGGACATACCCAACTTCAGCCTACTCAGGTCATCCTGTCCCATATAACAAGGGGGAAAAACAAAAGGGACTTGTGAAGTTTATAACCCAAGGCCGTAGGCGATAAAAACTCTAATGGATAAAGTACAGAACACAAGAACAGATGAGCAATGTAAGCAGAGCAATGGAAATTCTAACAAGGGATCAAAAAGAAATGCTAAGATCAAAAACACTGTATCAGAGGGCCGGCTGAGTGGCTCAGTTGGTTAAGAGCTCGCTCAAGAGTTTGAGCTCTGAGCAACAGCGGTTCGAGTCCCAGCCCGAGTCCCGGCCCGAGCTGAGCAGCCGCTGAGCTGCCAACAGGTTGCAGGATGGCTCAGCTAAAAAAAAAATAAAAAAAAATTACTGTATCAGAATGATGATGCTTTTGATGGGCTTATTAGAGGACTGGACATGGATCAGAAAATAATCTATCAGCTAGAGGATGTCTCAATAAAAATGGCCCAAACTGGAAACCAAGGAGAAAAAACCCACAGAAAAAAAAATTCAGAACAGAATATCCACGAACTGTGAGACAAGCACAAAAGGTGTAAAATACAAAGAATGGGAATTTCAGAAGAAGAAAGGAAAAGAAGAAATATTTGAAACAATAATAAATGAGAATTTCCCCAAATTAATTTCAGACACTGTGCCACAGATCCAGGAAGCTCAGAAAACACTGAGCAAGATATATACCCAAAAAAAACTATGCTGAGGCTTAGCATTTTCAAACTACAGGAAAAAAAAAAGATAAAGGAAAACTTTTGAAAGAAGCCAGAGGGAAAAAACAACTTACTGATAGAGAGGTAAAAATAAGAATTACATCTGACTTCCCCTCAGAAAACATGGAAGCGGAAGAGGGTGGAGTGAAATATTTAAAATGCTGCGAGAAATATACATTCTTCTCAAGTGCTCATGGACCACT